AGTTTGAACCAAAAGCTCCTAACATCAATGGGAGTCATTCCACTGACTTTTGTGGATGTTGGACTAGGCCTATAGAAAATAATTTAAGAAGAATGCCCTCTGTTTGTAAAAAGAGTTTATAAAAATTAAGAGAAGAACACTGAGGTAAAAGGCTCTTACTGTTGTCAGTGGCTGTGCAATGTACTGAATTACAACAGGGCTAATGAACTATTGTGTACTAGCATGCTATGATTTTGAGAACATATTTTCTACAGTTAGACATGAAAAAACCTTTACAGGAGATCTATATTTCTCTGGTGTATAAAATGCATTCCAATGTTATGTCTTTTTATTTTCAGTAATGAACTACTATGAGGCCCATCTTCATACTTCATTCTAAAGTATGGCCATAGCTCCTGGAAAGATACATTTCTTTGGCAGAACATAAGCAGCACCATAAATGTACTGCATACGACATTTCTTCTTAGTGCCCACACAGGGCACATTTGCAAGCCTAGATCTCATTTTATTATCATTGGTCTGTTTTGACATCTGGAGAAACTGAGCACTGCCAGAGATCCCAGTGTTAATGCCCATTTTAATTCACTGGGTAGGATAAAACTAGAATATTTTTTTCTGACTTACCCACTGATTTCACCTACCAGAGTTTGGTTCCAAATCCAGGTCATGTTGTGACTGCAATGACTGAAGAGGACTGAAGAGAACTTAGTCTTTAAAGTGGGGAGGGGAAGCTACTATGAGTTTCAACACTGAGATAATAGGCATGTGTTTCTGCCATACAAACTGCGACCAGACAACCCAAAAGAGTAGCAGAGTATTATATCAGCAGTTAAATATAAGGGGTAAATTCACCCCTGCACAGAGAAACAACTCAAGATCTGTAAGACCTATAGACCACTTAGGCCCGCAAAAATAGAGCCCTGTGGTGACCCTTTATATGAATCTACGATACCAGCTTTAGATTCTGCAAATCTACCTATAGTAGTTACCAAGGAATCCAGCCCATGTAAATGCTATAATTACAGGAGTCCTTTAAACAAGGTAATTTTGACACATAAATCAGTAAAATCTTCAAATGTTTTTCCTTCTTAATGACTGCCACATTTTATGTGCCCTTTTTAGCAAAGCTTTGTGGAAGGCAGGAGATGCTATATGCAGTAATATAAAAAAGCCATAAAACCTGCCTTGATTAAATTATTGTTTTCAGAAATCTCATTTCCTTTATAAACAACTACGTGTTTCTTAATTCTCTAGCTGGAAGAAGAGCACTATATTTGTATCTCATGGAGAGTGGACACACTTTGGTTATAACAAGAAAAGAAGATGGTAGATCAAATTTAACCACACAAAATTAACGGTGAATTTCTAAACAATGAGTCCACACCACCAAGCCCATTCCATCAACTTTAAGATCTGTTAACATAGATTTTGGTACTCCAGCTTTTCACAAAGAGTAATGCTAAATTCAACTTTACATGGTAAACTTTATGGTAGAGCAGATACAGTGCTATGAAAGTTGAAGTTCTTGGCCTCCAAGAGGTGTCCCACAGTGCCTCACTGTAACCACTCTGGCCAGGACTTTCAACTCTACTTCTCTTTAAGTGAACAGGAAAAACACCAGGAACATTTGAATTTCATTTTCTTTGTGGACAGTGTGGCAAGCAAACCTCAGAACATGCAGCAATTCTTAGCTGTACACCTGACCGTGAGTTTCCAGGGTTGCAGATGAACACCGGCATTGTTAGCTGAGGGGAGGAATCTGTTTTTGTAGAACTACGAACCAGCAAAAGGATATGCCAAGCTCACAAAGGGCATGGAGAAAGAATATGCCAGGACACCTAGCATTACCACGTAAAAGTAAAGGAGCTAAAGCAGTCATACCAGAAGACAACACGGGCAAATGGATGGTCTGGAGCATCACCACAAACATACTGCTTCTATGAGCAGCTGCATGTGAACCTAGGTAGGAACCAGACCATCTTCCTTATCTATTCCATGGACACTCCTCTGGCAGCCTCAGGCAGCAGTGTGGAGGACAGCAAGGGTGAGAAAGAGGAGAAGAAAGAGAATGGTCAGTAGACAAGAGGGGCAACTGATGTCACCAATAGCCAGGACCTTTTTATGACTTTGGAGACAATACCCACCTCCCAGGAAGTCTCACAGCTGGGCATTGATTCCTGGAGGACATTTCTGGTGAGTTCATATTTTTATCATGCTACAAATGGGGTAAGGCAAATGAGTGTGATCTGTTGCAGCCACCATGCCTGCACAGTGGAGGGGTTCCCAGAACAACTTGTCAAAGTGTCTGGAGACAGAGCAGGAATCATCCCTGCACCTCTCCAATAAGCTCTCATAGAGCAAATTTTTCATCCTTCTCACAAAGTTTCTGGGAAGGCCAGCTGTGACAGGCCGCTTGCCCTGCACTGGCCCTTTAAGGGCAAAACCCCAGCCAGGAGCAGAGGCTAGGAGCCAAGCCCCAGCTGAGGCAGTTCTAGTGATGAGGGCCTAGCTGGGAGCTATATAAAGGAGAGGGGCCTTCAGCTCAGGGTAGAGAGCAGTGAGAGCCTACTTGCTAGGGAAGCAGGAGGCTCTCTGGAGCTAGAGCTGGCAAGGCCAGGCCCCAGGCTTTTGCTCCTAAGGAGGAGACTAGGAGCTATGTGAAGGAGAGGACCTTGGGGTGTGAGCAGAGTGGACAACAACGTCCCCCGGAAGGGGGGCTCAGACACTAGTGTGGGCAGTGTCTGGAAGAGGACGCTGTGATCCAGGAGAAATGTGGGGAGACACCACATAGAGAAAGGCACCCAGCAAGGCAAGAAGAGCTGATTCCAGCACAGCCAGCTGGTGGCGCTGTTGTGGTGAGTTGACCTCGTGACACCTGCCTTATTCCATCTTCCAAGGCAGCAGTAAATGGCCTGGTGTCATTGCAGCACAAAGTGTGACAGCATAAGATCCAGGTCACAATCAGTCACATCTTCCCCCAACACTTTATGTGATTCACAGAAGACTGAGATCTCACATGGCAATCTGGATGAAACAGGGGAAGTTATTAGCTGATACCTCAGCAGTAAACTTCCATTTGCTCATCCCCAATGAAAAATGGCTTGAGCCTCTGCCCGGCCATGCCTGGACCTCCTCTCCCTTCCCGCCTGCCTGCTCCTGCAGGAAAGGTAAGTTTCACTATCCCAGCAAACAGGGGGTGCCAAACACATGGGTGCCATGTGAGCCCCTGGCCTGACACCAATTCCTGACCTCCTTCCTCCGCCCACCTGCATACTCTGGCAGGAAGGGAAACTTGCCACTCTCCCAGCTAATGGAGGGTGCAGAACACACAGGCACCACCTGAGCCCTGCTCTGGCCCTCCCCTGCCCTGCTGCCATGCCTGGGCCCCCATGCCCTGCCCTCTCCCTTACCATGCCTGCCACCAACAGGGTCCAGCTGCTCCCCTAAGAGCTCTGTACTTGCTGCATAATGGCTGCTTAAAAGAGTAACTGTGGCCTTGTACATAACACATGCCTAGTGTCTCTAGATAGACGTTCCTTTTATGCCAACAGATGATGTTTTACACTTTATAATTAATGTATCTCCTGTAACGTCTGCCCTTCAATTTTTGTTAGCACGGGCACAGAAGCGAGCATGCTGCACACTCCCCCAGCTCTGCCTGCAGTCCAAGTGCAACAAATCCACAGGCAAAAATGGAGTAGGGATGACATGTTCAAGGAGCAAATGTAATCCGCCTTCTTGCACAGGAAGTGCTTAAGCGAATGAAGGAATACACTGCTGTTGGAGACGAGAGTGTAGTGTGAGGACAGGAGAGTGTGTAGAGAGGTGGAAGTGAAGAATCAGGAGACAGTCTTGAATATCATGAAAGATGTGATGAACTGCATGGCAGCCTTCGTGGTCAGCTACTTGCACAGGCACCCCTCCAGACCTTGCAGAACAACATTCCTTCCTCACCAAGTTCCTGTGCTTCCTCCCCAGGGGTCTTAGGACACACAGAAGGAAGTAAAGCACAGCCTCACACTCAACTCCCAAAGGTGTGTCCAGAAGCAAAAAATGATTCTTCTTACAATTTTGATCACACAAACACCTCACCAAACTCCTGCCATGAATCCTTTTCTGTCCCTGCTGTGTTCCCTAAATAAAAAGGCATGATTTCTGAACAACAGTCTCTATTGCTCATGTTGAAAGGGAGCTGGGTTTACAGGCAATCACACTGAAAGGCACCTTGTTAAGAGCAGCCTACATGACTCTCAAATCTGGCCATTCATAAAACTGTCTTTCAAAGCCTCTCTGATTTGCAGTGCTCCTCACTGTGGTTTCCTTATTGCCCTCATGTCTGGCTGCTCATAATTTCTGGCTAGTCCCTGTGCCTCAACTCCCCACCCTGGCATATAACTTTCCCCTTTACCCTCACAAATGTTGTGGTGCACAGAGCAGGCTGCCACCACAATGGGGATGTTGCATTAGTGGAACTCTAACCTACTTAGTAGAATACAGAACCTTCCCTTTAAATGCTCAAAAGCACATTCTACCACCAGTCTGCCTCTGCTCAGCCTGTAGGTGAACTGCTCATTACTGTAATCCAGGCTGCTCATATACAGCTTCATGATTCCTGGATGACTATTGGCATTTCAGTGCCTCCAATGATTATTTTCTAGTCTGGAACTAAAGTTCCAGCTTCTGAAGAAGCAGGAGTTCCTAAAGATGTGCACATCATGCACCTTTCTGGACTATCCCATGTTGATGTCAGTGAAATCGCTCTTGTGATCCACCATCACCTGCAGCACCGTAGAGAAGTACTGCTTGTGGTTTATGAATCCTTTAGCAAGTTGATTGGGTGCCAAGATAGACAGAATACACATCCCTATTACCCCACCACAGTTAAGGAACCCCATCACAGTGAAGTCCTCCACATTTCCCAGAGTCACTATCCTCCATAGCAAAAGGGTTTCTGCTCGCTCTTGTGATCCACCATCACCTGCAGCACCGTAGAGAAGTACTGCTTGTGGTTTATGAATCCTTTAGCAAGTTGATTGGGTGCCAAGATAGACAGAATACACATCCCTATTACCCCACCACAGTTAAGGAACCCCATCACAGTGAAGTCCTCCACATTTCCCAGAGTCACTATCCTCCATAGCAAAAGGGTTTCTGCT